GTTGGTCATTTGCTGACAAAAGTGTTCCGTAAGCTCGCGTCGATGGTGAAGGTAGGGGAAGCGGCCTTGGTAGCACCGCGCGCTCATCATCGGCTTCCGTTCCACTGTCGTCTGAGTCTAGACTCAACCTCCATGGCGACGACTTCTGCACATCATTGACAGGCTCTCCCACGACGTCTGGAGAAGAGGGCTCTCCTAATGGTTGAAGTTCCACACTTTCCTGTTGATGGTCCGAATTGCGGGTGTCTCGAATGTCAAGAGCCCCTCGACTCGACATTTCAGGTGGTAATGAGGGTGTTATAGCTAATATGTCCGAGATAATTCATACGTTGTCGTCTCCGTCCTCCATCTTCAGGGTCAATGCAAGAAGTACTGTGAGACTCTTGGTGATACCTTTATAGGCGGGTTAGAGAAAAGGGGCTTAGGAGCTTCTAGGGCATCGCGGTAAGAGGGAAAGAAGAGGTGTTACCTAGGTATTATGCAAGTACCAATTGAAGAACGAGTGGCTCAATGATTCGTGGCGGAGCGAAGGTGACAAAGGCGCATGCGACGGATTGATCACTGTACGCGCCTCACAGACGTGGACGGCGGAGGCGTGCCGGAGATTGAAGTGGGTATAGAGCGCATTACGTCATCCACGAGACCTTGCCGGTGCATAAAGAGCTTATATAAGCTTGTGTACGAATGTTACTGATTACAGTCTAGCTTTGAATTATGCTGAAAAACTGATATGACAGTTCGAGGACAGGATTATTGCAAAAGTGACCGTATCTATGAAGTAGAGCTTATTTATGATTGTTCTCCTTTTAACTTGCACCTGCAGCCCGTGAGGCAAAGCAAAGGCACAGGTGTATATGCTAAAGGAGAAAGGTATTGCTCTGCGCCAGCAGTTTACCCTGCCAAACCATTGAAACAAAGACCATCTTTTGATTGTTCTTGCTTCGGTTTGGAAAGGTGATATTACCGGCGCAAGTATCACGCATTGAGGAGGCAATGTTATCGAAAACCCGCTGGGATCTGAACCCAGAGTCTTTTGATCGCGATGAATTGTAGTCAAGCGCCTTGCCGGTTGAGCCACAAGTCCGTAATGATATCTTCATTCTCGAAGCATGGCTGCTGACATATAAGTGCGCCAATGGCTAAGGATGTGCGACGCCATACAATAAAAGGTATGTCCCTTTCAGGTGGAGTGTGCTGGTCGCTTCCTCAAATCAACTTTTCGCGCTGGACAAAAACCAACACATTTCATTATTGCTGTCGTGAAAGACAGCACGGTGCTGAAAGTGACCATCATGGGCGGCCACCCCGATGCCATGGCCTATCCAATTTTCAGGAAGACGTGTATTCTTCAGAGTTGAGAGCTGAAGAATACATGCACATATCCTTGGGTCAAATCACATTTGAATGTCCTCCAGCGTCCTTGCTTGTTCAAAAAACCAAAAGCCACAGAGCATTCCGCAAGCTTTCATTCGATGATCAAGCAGTTTGACAATAGCCTAACTTCTCAACTTGGTTATGCTTGACCTGAAGGATCATCTGGCTGTAGTTGCGTTTTTGGGAATATCGAAGGAAAATAAATGTGTCCAGAGAAATTTTTTTTCTTTGATAGCTTCTTGGCGCTAACCGTAATTGCTGGTCCGTAGTCGGCTGGGCACGTGCATAAACCGTTGTGCCGTCAAGGCTTATACAGAATGCCGAGGCCTTTCAGACCCAGCCTATCCCGGCTCTGCCCGCTTGAAGCTGATACGTGGGAGCGCTACCAAGGTGTAAGAGGATTTCCCAGCAGTCCAATTGGGCGATGTGACTCCACCTTGCTGAGAGCTGCTTCAAGAAAGTAGTTTGACTG